CTTCTGTTGTTAAAGTCACCCAGTTTGTGGTTCTTGTTATAGCAGTCCTAGCAAACTAATCAAGTATGCAAAATATTAACAGCCTCATAGTATAAACAACTTAATTTCACTCCAGGAGTAAAGATAAGAATTAATTTTGCCTATCAAAATAAGTAATCTATATGTTCTTCTCACCACATGTCTATTTATTTCAACTAGTTAAGGATGTGTTATCAGTTTCTCAGAGATCTTCCAGCCCTTGAGCTTCATGTACTTTTCCAAAAACTTTAAATATCTTAAAATATTTTCACATGAAAACAATTCCACAACATTTATCCAAGGCTGAGGACATGCACCTCAGTATCTGTTCTTGGTGTAGTCCCTGGGTGACATGACCAGGCTGTAGCCTTTTTGGGTCCTGTGGTACCCAGTCTCTATGATGATGACTGTCTCCTGCTTGTCCTCCATATCCCAGTTAATCTTATTGTTGTTGCCATTCCAAGTCAATCATGATGTGTTTGTTCCTGAAGGAAAATATGACAGTACATGGATTGTATAATTCATACAGTTTGTTGAAGTCAGATACTTCTGTAATATCCATAAGATAAATAACTGCAAAATGTTTAATCTTTTCAGCTATACTATTTAGAACTTTGTCCATTTTCATTCAAGTAGGGTCCCAATCATGTCCAAACTAAATGACAATGACTTGGTCTTCCTCCAAAAGGATGGCCTGATCTACCTGCCAGCTGTTGTGAAAGTGTAGGAGCATGTATGACCTCATGTGGGTTGAACTGGGTGTCTCCTGGCAAGACTAAGACCTCCCACCTAGCTATCCCTCCAAGGCTTTTCTTTTCTTTTCTTCTTCTTTTTAATAAACGTGTTTATCACTATAAACTTCTCCCTTAGCATTGCTTTTGCTGAGTCTCATCAATTTTGGTATGTTGTGGTTTTGTGAATTATTTAGGATGAGGTCATGCTGGAGCAGATATTTCTGGAGAGTTTTTTTTTTAAATTCCCATTTGATTGATACTTTGACTCAATGATTGCACTAGAATGTATTATTTAGTTTTCATGTATTTTCCTTTCCATTTTTATTTTTATTCTTTTTTTAAAGCAAAATTTACTGAGAGGACAGAAAAGCTCCCACATTGGGAGGGGACCCGAAGGGGTTGCCCCTTTTCCAGTTTTAAAAGAACTATTTTATTGACCAAGCATGGTGGCTCAAGTCTGTAACCCCCGCACTTTGGGAGGCCAAGGCAAGAGGATTGCCTGAGCTCAGGGGTTTGAGACCAGCCTGGGCAACTTGGTGAGACCATGTCTCTACAATAATAAAAAAATAATCTGGGAGTAGTAACATGTGCCTGTAGTTCCAGCTACTTGGAAGGCTGAAGCAGAAGGATCGCCTGAGCCCAGCAGGTCGAGGCTGCGGTGGTTGTGAGCATGTCACTGCACTTCAGCCTGGGCAACAGAACGAAACTCCAACTCAAAAAAAAGAACTATTATTGAATTCTTGTTTCATTCCTTTGTGGTTAAAAAAAAGATATATGGAATGATTTCAACCATTCTAAATTTATGAAGTCTTTTTTTATGACCTAATGTGTCATCTTGCCTGGAGAATCTTCTGTGTGTACTTGAGAAGAATGTATATTCTATTGTTTGGTAGAAGGTTCTGTACATGTCTGTTAGGTTTATTTGGTTTATACTGTTGTTCCAGAAAAACATAAAGTTGTTTCTTTGTTGGTTTTTCCTGTGTGGATGTTCTATCCATCATTAAAAGTGGGGTATTGAAGTCCCCTGCTACTATCGTATTGCTGTTACTGTCTCCTTCAGATTTGTCAGTATTTGTTCTGTATGTTTAGGGCTTTGATGTTGAATGCATATATATAATTGTCATATCTTTCTGTTGTGTTGACCTTTTTATCATTATATAATGAACTGTTTCTTTGACAATTTTTGGTTTAAAAGTCTATTTTGTCTGATATAAGTACAGCTACTCCTGCTCTTTTGGTTACCATTTCAATGGAATATCTTTTTTCATTCCTTCACTATGTGTGTCCTTAAATCTAAAGTGAGACTTTTGTAGACATTATATCACTGGATATTGTTGTTGTTTTAAATCCATTCAGCCACTGTGTGTCTTTTGATTGGGGCATTTAATCCATTTACATTTAAAGAAATTATTGATAGGTGAAAACTTACTACTGCCATTTTGTTCTTTTCTGCCTATTTTGCAGTTGATTTATTCTTCTCTTCGGCTTTTTTTTTTTTGAGTTGGAGTCTCACTGTGTCACCCAGACTGGAATGCAGTGGCACGCTCATGGCTGCTGCAACCTCAACCTGCTGGACTCAGGCAATCCTACTTCAGCCTTCCAAGTAGCTGGAACTACAGGAGAGTGTTACCATGCTCGGCTTATTTTTTGATTTATTGTAGAGACGAGGTCTTGCCAAGTTGTTCAGGCTGGTCTTGATCTCATGGGCTCAGGCAGTCATCTCACCTCGGTCTCCCCAAGGGCTGGGATTTTATAGGCTGAGCCACTGCACCTGGCCCCTCTTCTGCTTTCTGTTGTTATTTTATGATTTTTTTGTTATGTTTTTATTATTTTTTCCTTAATCTTTTCTGTATCTATTATGGGGTTTTGGGGGGGTTACCTTTAGGTTTTCATAGAATATCCCGTAGCTATAACCATTTATTTTAATTTGACAATAACTTAACTTCAATTCTACACAAAAACTCTACACTTTTACTACCACCACCACAGTGTGTTTTTTAGTCTGCATTTATTTCTAAAATATTGTGTATTCACTGACAAGTTTTTGTCTTTTAACTTTTATACTAGAATTAAAAGTATTTTATGCCTCAGAATGTCATATTATTCTGTGTTGTTCTATATATTTACCTTTACTAGTAACATTTATGTTTTTATATGCTTTTACATTGCTATTTTGCATGTTCTCATTTCAATTTGAGGAACTCATTTAAGCATTTCCTGTAAGGTAGATCTGGTGGTGATAACTCCCTCAGTTGTTAATTTTTTGGGAAAGACTTTATCTCTCCTTCATTTTTTTTTTTTTTTTTTTGAGTTGGAGTCTCACTCTGTCTCCCAGACTGGAGTGCAGTGGCCACTCCTGGCCACCGCAGCCTCGACCTGCTGGGCTCTGGTGATCCTTTCGCCTCAGCCTTCCAAGTAGCCGGAATTACAGGCATGCGCTACCACACCTGGCTGATTTTTTGATTTATTGTAGAGATGAGGTCTTGCTGCCCAGGCGGATCTCGAACCCGCAGCCTTAGGCAATCCACTCACCTCAGCCTCCCAAAGATGCAGGATTACAGGCTGAGCCACCAAGCCCGGCTCTCCTTCATTTTTAAGGGTTAATTTTGCTGGATATAATTATCTTGGTTGGGATTTTTTCTTACTTTCAGTACTTTGAGTATCTCATTCCACTCTCTCTGAGCTGATAAGTGTTAAAAAAGCAAACTGAGACTCAGTAAAATTTTAAAGTGTTTATTTGAATAAGCAACTACTCATGAATTGGGCATCTCCAAACCAGAAGTTGTTTAGGAACTTGACTAAGGGAACAAAAGGGGGAGACTTCTATGGGATAAACACAGAAGTAAAGCAAATAAAATAGTTGATTAGTTACAATTATATAGTTGCCTTATTTGATCTATCCTGTTAGAGAGTCTCTAGTTATGCAATTATAATTTGTTGACTGCTTCTGATTCATTGAACTTAAGTTCTGTTTTTCTTTCATATAATAATTTATAATAAATAACTCAAGTTAAGTTTTGATGATGTTTGTAAATCAATTAACATTAATACTACTTATGAGGTCTAACTAGCTTCGTCTGCTCAGGAGTATGACTGGCTTTATCTTCATTTAATTTGAATTAACAACAAAGTTTCTGCTGAGAAGTATGCTGAGTCTTATTGAGGTTTCCTTACCTGTGACAAGCTGCTTTTCTCTTACTGCTTTCAAAATTCTTTATTTTGTCTTTGACTTTTGACAACTTAATTATAATGTGTCTTGGTGTAGACCTCTTTTATGTTCACCCTATTGGGGTTCTTTAGACTTTTTGAATCCAGATATCTACTTTCTTCATTAGATTCTGGGAATTTTTCAGTCATTTCTTTAAATATTTTTTCTGCTTTTTTTTCTCATTTCCTTCTCTTTCTGTGACTCTAATAATGTATTTATTTTGATTAGCATGATGGTGTTCTCTAAATCCTGTAGACTTTTTTCATTCTTTTTCATTCATTTTTTTCTCTTTGTTCTGCTGGCTGGATAATTTCAAGTGATCCATCTTCTAGTTCATTGATTCATTCTGCTTGATATAGTCTGCTTTTGAAGCTCTCTATTGTTTTTCATTTCATTCATTGTATTCTTCAGCTCCAAAATTTCTGTTTTTATGATTTTGATCTCTTCTTGAACTTATTGGTTTAGTCACCTATTGCTTTTTTGATTTTGTTGAGTTGGCTGTGTTCATTTATTTCTCACTCAGCTTTTGAAAAAAATTATTTGAATTCTTTGTTAGGCAATTCATAGCTCTCTCCATACTTTGGGGATCAGTTACTGGAAATTTATGTGTTCTTTGGTGGTGAAATGTTTCCCTGATTTTTTGTGTTTATTGTAGTCTTGCATTGGTATCTGCTCATTTAAAGAATTAGTCACCTCTTTTAGAATTAATGAATTGATTTCTGCTGGGAAAGTCACACTCACTTTAAGTGAGTATGAGGACACTGGCTCAGTGAGGTGCATGACTGATCCAAGTCTGAGGACATATGGGGATGTCAGTTCTGAGGACATGTAGAGTGATGGCTCTGAGGATACATGGGCTTGCTCATACTGCAAGCGCATGATGGTACCAGGTTTCGAGGTACATGGTAGCACCAGTTTTGTTGGGGGCATGGCAGTACTGAGTTAAGGGGTACAACAGAACTGTGTTTGGTGGGTGTGCTCAGGCATGGTGAAATAAGGGCTGGGAGGGAGAGAATGAGGTGGCTTAAGGGGGACATAGAATGTGGGCTCTGGATAGCACTGGTTGTGATGCACAGATGGCAGTACTAGTTTTTTGGGTGTGGGTGTGTGCACAGCAGTGTCAGGTCCAGAGCACAGGTACACTCATGGTGGCATGGCACAGGCTCTGTGTTGCTCTGTCAGCTGAAGTTCATGTCTGTAAAGACAATGAGGGTCCTCAACAGCACTGAGGGCCACTGGAGTCATCAGTGATGAAGGCTGCTGGGATTTTCCTTCTCTCCTTTTCCATCACAGGCGGAAGTTGTGGCTAAAGGAATTCTTCTTAGCTGTGAGCTATAACCAGTCTAGAAAATAGGGTGGTGAAGATAAAATGATTTTTCTCTTTTCTATATGCCCATCCTCTGTTGTTATGCTCCACTGGCTTAGTGCATTTTCTTTTCTTTTCTTTTTTTGAGTTGGAGTCTCACTCTGTCACTCAGGCTAGAGTACAGTGGCACCCTCACAGCCACTGCAGCCTCAACCTGCTGGGCTCAGGATATCCTTCCGCCTAAGTCTTCCAAGTAGCTGGAACTACAGGCATGCACCACTGTGACTGGCTAATTTTTTTACTTGTAGAGGTGAGGTCTCACCAAGTTGCCTAGGTTGGTCTCAAACCCTTGGGCTCAGGCAGTCCTCTCACCTTGGCCTCTTAAAGTGCTGGGATTATAGGCATAAGCCACTGTGCCCAGTCTTGTACATTTTCTTAACTATAATCTGGAGCTCTCCCAAATCTATTTTCACCCATAAATAGTTGTCAAATTATTGTTTTTGTGAGGTATACAAGTTGGGACTCCCTAGTGTACCATCTTGCTGATGTCCCTCCCTTGCATTGAATTGCTTTTACATGTTACATTGAATTGCTGAGCTAGATTGATTTCACTGGGAACTATGTGTCCCAGAATCCTCTTCCATGTATGTATGCTTCTAAATTAGAGTCAGTCCAAAGTAAAATTGCACAAGATTTGAGAGGTGAAAGTGAAGCATAAATATTGCCCTTTGAAAGTTGTCATTGAGGGGATGGGGAAACATCTCTTATCAACAGGGTGCCTGAATGAAACATACTTGTACACCTAACCCTTAGCTGTACCCCACAAAACCATAATAAAAAAGAATGAAAAAAAAAAGAAAGTTGTCATTGGTTAGAGATTAAGGTTCAGATATAGACTTTTAAAAGGGATTTCAATCTGTCCCCATTTTTCCTGCTCTTAATCCAGCTCTTCTTCCTGAAAGTCAGTCTTGCATACCAATACTGGCCTTAGTCCCAACACCACATGCTTTGCTGCAAATCGACAAAGGTAGAAACCACAAACAGTTTAGCCACTTTCCATGAACTTCTATATTAACCTCCGCTTCCTCCCCATTTGTCCACAACCAGCAGCTAGACATGCCTACATCCTAGAGTTCCTGTAAGCTCTGATGTATTCAATCTCATCAGTGCTGGTTAGTGACTTTGATCTTTGCCTCTCTTTTTTAGGCCATTGCTCCTTCAACTCCTCTCACAATTGTGCAAAGTTCAATTCTTGTATTACATTTTTAACAGACTATGTTAAGGGAAGTTTTATGTTTCAGCTTTTCTGTTTTGCTGCTCTTTGTTATTTTCTTGCTTTTTATTTCTTTTGGTATAATTTGAAAGTGTATTGCTTATTTATTTATTTAGAGTCTTGCTCTGTTGCTCAGGCTGGAGTGCAGTGGCATGCTCACAGCTACTGCAGCCTTGACCTGCTGGCCTCGGCGATCCTTCTACCTCAACCATCCAAGTAGCTGGAAGTACAGGTGTGCGCCATCATGCCCAATTAATTTTTTGATTTATTGTAGAGATGAGGTCTCATCAAGTTGTCAAGGCTGGTCTCGAACCTCTGGAATCAGATAATCCTCTTGCCTCCACCTCCCATAGTGCTAGGATTATAGGTGTGACCCACCATGCCTAGTTACTGTATTGCTTAATTTTTAAAAATTTGGAAGAATTTTCTACATATTTATAAAATTTATTTTTAATATAATTCCACTAGGGACTGAGAACATATTCTGCATGTCTAATTCTAAATTTATTGAGAATTTTTTGTTTATAGTCCACAATATGTTATACCTCAGCAAATGTTTCCTTGTGCTTGAATATAATTGCTAATCTGTAGTTATTGCATTTAACATTCTGTACATTTTATTTAGATGTAGTTGATTGACAATGTATTTCAAGTCTTCTATATCCCTATTTGGTTTTTTCCACTTCTATTAATTACTGAAAAATAATGTTAAAATCTCAGACTTTGACTTTGAAATTGTCTATTTCCCTTTTTAGTTCTGTCAGTTTTTGCTTTAGGCATTTTGAAACTCTGTTGTCAGGTGTATGCACATTTAGGATTTTTATGTCCTTTTTGTGATATGAATTTTTTATCATTTATGAGATGTCAATAGCTAGATATAATTATAGTTCTTTCTTTGAAGTTGACTTTGTATATTAATATAGCTATACTAACTTTCTTTTGATTAGTGATTGTTTAGTGTGAATCTTGTACCATTGTTTTTCTTTCAATCTATCTGTGACTTTATATTTAAAATGCGACTCTTTTATACAGCATATAGTTGGGTCTTATTTGTGTATGTATGTGTTTAATCCAGTCTGTGTTTAATACCTTTTAAAAAATGAAATGTTTAGTCTATCTACATCCTCTATCATTATTGATATTCAATGTTATACTGCTATTTGTTTTATGTTTGTTCCATTGGTTCTTGGTTGCTTTGTAGCCCTCTTTTGTATTGAGTACATATAGTATTTAATTTTTTCTCTTTTACCAACTATTTTTATACATAATTCAGTTTGATTTAATTTTAAGAGATTATTCCTTCCATTACAATAAGTACCCTTCACTTAAAGCAGTCAAATTCAAGCCTCTGCAAAGCAAAAGCAGCTCTATTCATCAAGAGAGGGGGGAGACAGACCACAGAATGGGAAAAAATATTTGCCAACCACATATCTGACAAAGGTCTAACATCTAGGATCTACAAGGAACTCAAACACGTTGAAAGGAACAAAGCAAATAGCCCCATTAAAAAGGTGGGCAAAAGACACTTAAAAGAAGATATATAGGCAGCCAACAGACACATGAAAAAGTGCTTAACCTCACTAATCATCAGAGAAATGCAAATCAAAACCACATTGAGATACCACCTAACCCCAGTAAGAATGGTCATCATTAAAACAACAAGAAGCCAGGCTTGGTGGTTCAGTCTGTAATCCCGCGCCTTGGGAGGCTGAGGTGAGTAGATTGCCTGAGCCCATAGGTTCGAGACCCACCTGGGCAACTTGGTGAGCCCTCATTTCTATAATAAATCAAAAAATTAGCTGGGTGTGGTAGTGCCTGCCTGTAGTTCCAGCTACTTGGAAGGCTGAGGTGGAAGGATCGCTGAGTCCCAGCAGGTCGAGGCTGCGGTGGCCGGGAGCAGCCACTGCACTCCAGTCTGGGTGACAGAGTGAGACTCCAACTCAAAAAAATAAAAAATAAAAAAAATAAAGCAGCAACAGATGCTGACAAGGATGTGAAGAAAAAGGAACACTTCTACACTGCTGGTGGGAATGCAAACTAGTGCAACCTTTTTGGAAGATAGCGTGGCGATTTCTGAAAGAACTAGAAATTGACCTTCCATATGACTTAGCAATCCCCCTATTGGAAATATGCCTGGAGGAACTCAAGTCATTCTACCAAAAAGATACCTGTACACGCATGTTTGTTGCAGCTCTATTCACAATAGCAAAAACATGGAACCAACCATGCTGCCCATTGAAGCTGAACTGAATTTTTAAAATGTGATACACATATACAATGGAATATTATGCAGCCACAAAGAAGGACAAATATATGAACTTCACAGCAACTTGGATGGATTTAGAGTCTATCATACTCAGTGATCTGTCATGGAAACAAAGAACAGAGTATCATATGTTCTCACTCATAAGCAGACCTTGAACAATTATCATAATACTATAAGAAAGGGATTGGCAGTAGTGGGAAACTGCTGGGGGAAGGCACACCTCATCAACAAGGGTACCTGCATAATGAACATTTGTGTACCTAACCCTAAATTGTACCTCACATCTTTTAAAAAAATAAAGCAGTCAAATTAATTTTAGTTGACTAACATCTTAAATTAATATAAAACTAATATTATATCATTTCATGTAAAATATAAAAATTTACAAATGTATAATTCTGATCCTCCTCTAGCTCTTATACTAATTGTTGTCATATCTTTTACATCTATAAATGTTATAAACCCCATAATTCATTTTTATCCCTTTTGCTCTAAATATTCAATAAGCAAATAAATTAATGACAATATTATTTTTTACTTACCTACGTATTTACCACACTTTCCTTATTCTTTCTTATAGATTTGGATTTCCATCTGGGGTCATTTTCCTTTAGTCTGAATAATTTTCTTTGGTATTCCTTGTCATGTGGGTCTGATTACAAATTCCTTCAGAAATAAATTGTCTCATCTTTTATTTGTCTGACAATATATTCATTTGACCTTAAAATTTTAAAAATACATTTTCCTGTATAAATAATTCCAGGTTGACAGATTTTTTTTCCTGTACTTTAAAAACATTATTCCACTGTCTTTAGTCTTCCACTGTTTCTGATGAGAAGTCAGCAGTAGTGACTTCTAAGTCACTGTGGTTCACCTAAACGTAAGTGCATTGTGCATTTTCTCTCTGTCTGCTTTATTTTTTTTTTCTTTTTCATTCTCAGTTTGACTATGATGTACCTAATTCTAATACTCTTTGTATTTATCCTGCTTGGTAATTCCTGTGACTCTTGGTTCTATGGCTTGATATATTTCATTGATTTTGGATATTTTAAAATTTATTATTGTTTGAAATACTTCTTCCACTTATTTCTCTGCCTTTATTCTTGGACCTTGATTATACATATCTTAGATTATTTGGTGTTCTTTTTTCTATTCATTTTTTTCTTTCTATGCTTCAATTTTGATAATAACTTGTCTTTGAAACTTTTTTCTTCTCTTATGTCCAGTTTGTTATTTAGCTTACCCATTTTTAAATTTCAGATGTTTTAATTTTCAATTCCAGAATTTTCATTAGGTTTATTTTTAGAGTTTCCTTTTCTCTATTAAGATTCGCCAACTGTTCACCATTCTGTCCATTTCCCCACCCCGCTTAAATTCTTTAACACATTAGATACATACTAGCAGTTTTAAAGTTCTTACCTGCTAGTTCCAACGTCTGAGTCATCTGTTTCTATTGATTCATTATTCTCTTATTAAGGGCCATATTTTCCTGTTTTCTTAAAATGACTAAGTAATTTTTAAAATTTATCTTGGAAATTATAGATGATATATTGTAGGAACTCTGTATTATGCTATTTTCCTCTAAAGAATGTTGCATTTTAATCTGGTTAAATTACTCCATCAGTTTTGATTCCAGAGTGAAGATTACATGGAACAGATTCCAAACTGACTTGCAATAGACATACAATGTGAGCAAGAAATAAAGCCTTTGTTGTGCTAAGCTGTTGAGATTTTGAGGGTTCTTACAACATTAAAACTCCACCCATCCTAACCAACACATAGAACCTCTTGCCATCTCTTGGATCCTATGACAGACCAACTCTCCTCCTCAGTGCTTGCATAATTGCTTGGAAGTTTAGGGAGGAGTCCCAAGAGAAGTAAGGGAGGTGCAGTTTTCTTGTCCATAGCTATCTGTTCTTCATTGTCATTGTCCCACATGTGTCCCTCAAGGCATGAGATCGGTTTTTTCCCATGCACACTTTCTACAAAGGTCCGACTTCTGCCTCTTTTTGGGGGCTGCACTGGGACTGCACTTCTCTTAGATATCCGTAACTCTAGTATGAAGCCTAAAAGACAAATCTATCAAAAACAATAATAGCTACAGCAGCCTGTTAAGTGGTAAGCAATATAAAAATATGTAAATTAAGACAATAAAAGGTCACAATGTAGGAGAGATGGATAGAGTTAAAGTGTAGAGTTTTATTTTTAATTTATTTTTGAATTAGAATCTCACTCAGTTGGAGTGCAGTGGCATGACCATGGCTCATTGCAGCCTCAAGCACCTGGGCTCAAGTAATCTTTCTGTCTCAGCCTCCTGAGCCTGGGACTACATGTGTGTACCACCACACCCAGCTACTTTTTTGTGTTTTTTGTAGAGTCGAGATCTCACTATGTTGATCAGCCTGGTCTCAAACTCCTGGGCTCTCAATGATTCTCCTGCCTCAGCATTCCAAAGTGCTGGAATTACAAGTGTGAGCTGCAGCCAGACTCGGTGGCTCAGCCTGTAATCCCGTGCTTTGGGAGGCTGAGGTAAGTGGATTACCTGAGCCCACGGGATCGAGACCCGCCTGGGCAACTTGGCGAGACCTCATCTCTACAATAAATCAAAAAATTAGCTGGGTGTGGTAGCACATGCCTGTAGCTCCAGCTACTTGGAAGGTTGAGGTGGAAGGATCGCCGGAGCCCAGCAGGTCGAGGCTGCGGTGGCCGGGAGCAGCCACTGCACTCCAGTCTGGGCGACAGAGTGAGATTCCAACTAAAAAAAAAAAAAACCAAATAAACAAACAGAAAAACAAGCGTGAACTGTTGTGTCCAGCCAAGAAACTGAATTAATAATTAATAACCTTCCAAAATAGAATTCACTAGGCCCAGATGAATCTACTGGTGAATTATCCCAAACATTTAAAAAGGAAATGATATAAATTTTCTACTATCTCTTCCAGGAGATAGAAGCAGAAGGAAGACTTCCAGCTCATTCTATCATCATTACCCTAAAAGAAAACTGGAAAAAGACATTACAAGAAGATAAATTACAGACCAATCTCTCTCTCTTCAATGAAGATGTAAAACTCTTTTTTTTTTTTTTTTTTGAGTCAGAGTCTCACTCTGTCACCCAGGCTGGAGTGCAGTGGCATGCTCACGGCCACCACAGCATCAATCTGCTGGGCTCAGGCGATCTTTTCACCTCAACCTGCCAATTAGGCTTATGCCACCATGCCCGGCTAAGTTGTTGTTGTTTCTTTTTTTGTAGAGATGAGGTCTCATCATGTTGCCCAGACTGGTCTCAAATCCCTGAGCTCAGGCAATCCTCTCACCTCGGCCTCCCAAAGTGCTGAGATTACAGGCTGAGCCACCAAGCCTGGCCTGGTTTTGTTGTTGTTTCTTTTTTTGAGTTGAGGTCTCACTCTGTCACCCAGGCTGGAGTGCAGTGGCATGCTCACGGCCACCACAGCATCAATCTGCTGGGCTCAGGCGATCTTTTCACCTCAACCTGCCAATTAGGCTTATGCCACCATGCCCGGCTAAGTTGTTGTTGTTTCTTTTTTTGTAGAGATGAGGTCTCATCATGTTGCCCAGACTGGTCTCAAATCCCTGAGCTCAGGCAATCCTCTCACCTCGGCCTCCCAAAGTGCTGAGATTACAGGCTGAGCCACCAAGCCTGGCCTGGTTTTGTTGTTGTTTCTTTTTTTGAGTTGAGGTCTCACTCTGTCACCCAGGCTGGAGTGCAGTGGCATGCTCACGGCCACCACAGCATCAATCTGCTGGGCTCAGGCGATCTTTTCACCTCAACCTGCCAATTAGGCTTATGCCACCATGCCCGGCTAAGTTGTTGTTGTTTCTTTTTTTGTAGAGATGAGGTCTCATCATGTTGCCCAGACTGGTCTCAAATCCCTGAGCTCAGGCAATCCTCTCACCTCGGCCTCCCAAAGTGCTGAGATTACAGGCTGAGCCACCAAGCCTGGCCTGGTTTTGTTGTTGTTTCTTTTTTTGAGTTGAGGTCTCACTCTGTCACCCAGGCTGGAGTGCAGTGGCATGCTCACGGCCACCACAGCATCAATCTGCTGGGCTCAGGCGATCTTTTCACCTCAACCTGCCAATTAGGCTTATGCCACCATGCCCGGCTAAGTTGTTGTTGTTTCTTTTTTTGTAGAGATGAGGTCTCATCATGTTGCCCAGACTGGTCTCAAATCCCTGAGCTCAGGCAATCCTCTCACCTCGGCCTCCCAAAGTGCTGAGATTACAGGCTGAGCCACCAAGCCTGGCCTGGTTTTGTTGTTGTTTCTTTTTTTGAGTTGAGGTCTCACTCTGTCACCCAGGCTGGAGTGCAGTGGCATGCTCACGGCCACCACAGCATCAATCTGCTGGGCTCAGGCGATCTTTTCACCTCAACCTGCCAATTAGGCTTATGCCACCATGCCCGGCTAAGTTGTTGTTGTTTCTTTTTTTGTAGAGATGAGGTCTCATCATGTTGCCCAGACTAGTCTTGAACCTGTGGGCTCAGGTTATCTTTTCACCTCGGCCTCCCAAGGTGTTGAGATTACAGGCGTGACCCACTGTTCCTGGTATAGACAAACTTAATGAACAAGCCAATGAGGAGATTTTCAAAGTAGAACAGAAATATAACAAACTCCGCAAACCATTTTTTCAGAAGAGATCAGAATTGATCGCCAAAATCCCAGATTTCTGGGTAACAACATTTGTCAATCATCCACAAGTGTCTGTATTCTTGGGGGAGGAAGACGAGGAGACACTGCATTATTTGACCAGAGTTGAAGTGACAGAATTTGAAGACAGTAAATCAGGTTACAGAATAAGTTTTTATTTTTATGTCAATCCTGATATTGAAAATAAAGTTCACTCCAAAGAATTTCATTTGAGTGAGAATGGTGATCCATCTTCAAAGTCCACTGAAATCAAATGGAAATCTGGAAAGGATTTGACGAGTCAAACACAGAATAAAACCCCTGGGCTCAGGCAGTCTTCTTGCCTCGACCCCCAAAGTGCTGGGATTACAGGCTTGAGCCACTGTGCCCTGCCCAGAGAGTTTCTTTATCTGGTTCATCAATCATTCTGAGGCAGGTGCAGATGAGTTAGGAGAGGTCATCAAAAATGACATTTGGCCCAGTCGATTACAGTACTACTTGGTTCCTGTTATGGACGATGAAGAAGGAGAAGGAGAAGACGATGATGACGATAAAGAGGAAGAAGAATTGGAAAATGTTGACAAAGACAAGGATGAGGATGAAGGTGAAGATAAAGATGACGAGGAAGGGGGACAAGGAGAGGAGAATGAAGGAGAAGACGACTAACAGAACACCTTCTAATCTTTTTTTAAAAACATTTTCTACAGTTCCTGGGAGCAAGTTGCAGCTTTTTTTTTTCTTCTTGTGCTCAGTTGCCCTGTTTAGAAGTGCCTTTTCTCTATACCATGGTTCTCAACTTATCTGGGGGGGAAATACCTTGAGCAGAATACAATGAGAAAAGTGTCTCTACCATTCTGTTCCAAATTCATTTTTACCCCTTTCTGTCTCAACAAAGACTGTATGGAATCAACACCACCGAGCTCTGTGGGGAAAAGGAAAATCCTGTTCCCTTCACTCTGCTGGAAGCTGGAGGGTGCTGGGTCCTTGTTGGTAGTGCATAGAATTCTAACTTTTCCCCTCGTTTCTTTGTATATTGAGCTCAAAGAGTATGCTGTGTCTTTATGTGAAAATAGATAGTTAGCATTTACTAACATGTATCTGTCTACTTTCTTTTGTTGAAAAAAAGAATTTTTAAAAATGAGGTTATAGAAGGTCAGTAAAGGGTGGGTTTGATATGCTTGGGTGGATTAAATGAGCATTTTGACAACATGGCTTCTCCTTTGGCATATTTAATTGTGGTTTTTATGGACATCCTTGCAGTTTAGGATGACACTTTTAAAATAAATTTTCTCCTAATGATAACTTGAGCCTTGCCACTCAATATGAGAATCAGCAGAACCTATAGGATCCTATTGGGAATTGACATTCCGTATTGTAATTTTGTTCCTGTTTATTTTTATTTTTTAAGCAATAATCATTTATTAGCTCACCATGTTGTACGTCAGAAGCCCCTGCTCCTGTTTATTTTTAAATCTTGTGTTTCGCTGGAAATGAAAGATAATGCTCACTTTTGTTTCTTTTTTAAGCATTAAATAGTTTTTATTTGATATTACACATAAACCACACTAAAATACCTTTTAATAAGTAAAAGACAGCATTTTCAGATACAGGGAATTCTAATTAGATTGACATAGTTAAGACCAAAAATATAAAGTAGACATTGCTACTTTATCTTCAATCCTTGCTTTTAAGAGGCAAAGGCACACACAACAGGTGAGTCTTGCTTGATTCTGAGACAGTGAAAGGAATTCCCCAATATTTAAATATATTGATATAACCAGTTATATAAATCTAAATGAAAAACCAATTTCCATTAGATTTTAAGATGGCATTCGCCATCTTTGTGAAAAGTTGAACATAGTTATCAAATAGAATCTTATCTTTAGATGGGGAAAGCAGTGATAACCTTTACTAAATTGAAATTACTATTTTTAAAAAACTGATTTTATGTATTTGACTACAAACCAGTCTTAGTTAAGTTGGACTGTCCAACAAAAATATTGTCAGCCACTCATAATATGAATTCTGGTGTATGAGATCAATTAAATTATGGTACACATAAAAAAAGTCATGAGACATTTCTGTTTTGTTGTAAATAAGGGAGTGGCCACTTATTACTCACTAGTAACTTTTTTGAGATAAGTTATCAAATCTGCCCTTTCCCCCTTCTTCTTAATGCTGGCGAAGATCATTTTTGTTTCAGGGATGTACTTCTTGGAATTCTCCAAATACTCCATCAGGGTATCTTCTCTCCAGGTGATGCCTTTGTTCTTATTGGTGTCTGTGTAAGAGAATGCAGCAGACTGACCTGTCTTCCGCCCAAAGAGACCATGGAGATTTGGCCCACTCTTGTGACTTGCCTCTTTTTTCCATGGTGGCACACTTCTGAACAAAAATCTTCTTGCCTTTCTTAACATCACCCATATTTAATTATCTCTTTCATTACTGGCACTAGAGAGGTTCCTGCTCAGAAGCCAGACATCCCACTCTCTGATGCTCAGCTTTCAATGTTAAAGGTGTACAAGTTTCTTTGTTACAATAAAACTAAATGTATATATATACACACATAAAAGAAAGAGAATTATACAACATTACCAGTGGGATTTATTCTAGGCATGTAAAGGTAGTTCAACATTATAAAATACATTAATGTATTTTAAGTTGTTCAAGAGTCTAAAGAAGAAAATTACAGAACAATATCAATAGATGCGGTAAAATTGTTCATCAAAATCCAACACGCATTCATGATTTTAAAAAAAACAAACCTGGAATAGAAAGAAATGTCCTCAACCTGATAAAGAATATCTTCAACAAATCTACAGTTAACATCATGCTTAAATATGAGAAACTCAAAGCATTCCTGCTAAGACCAGGAACAAAGCAAGGATATCTCCTTTTACCATTCCTTTCAACATCATACTGGAAGTCCTAGTTAATGTAATATAAAAAGAAAAGGAAATGAAATATATATAGATTTGGATGAAATATCTTTGACTTTGTTCAAAGATAATATGATCATCTATGTAGATAACCCAAAAGAGTCAACAACTACAAAAACTCCAGAAACTAGTAATTATAGCAAGATTGTAGCATACAAGGTTAATATTCAAAAGTCAATTGCTTTCTTATATATTAGCAATGAATATATGGAATTTGTTCTTTTACTTTTGAGTTAGAGTCTTACTTTTTTGTTCAGGCTGGAGTGCTGTGGCATGTTCACAGCTCACCACAGCCCCCAACTCCTAGATTCAAGTGATCCTCCTATGTCAATGTCAGCTTCCCAGGTAGCTGGGACTACAAATGTGTGCCACCACACCTGGCTAATTTTTTTTTTTTTTTGTAGAGACAGGGTCTTTCTATGTTGCCTAGGCTAGTCTCGAATTTCTGAGCTCAAACAATCCTCCTGCCTCAGTCTCCCAAAGTACTGAGATTACACGCATAAGTCACCATGCTGGGCCCAACATTTTCAATTAAAAACACAATACCATTTACAATAGTATGCCCCAATAATAAAATATTTAGGTATAAATCTAATAAAATACATATAAGAACTATATAAGGAAAATGACAAAACTTTGAATGATATAAAATTTGAACAAAATAAATGGAGAGATATTCTATGTTCATGGATAGAAAGACTCAATGTTGTCAAGATGTCAATCATTCCCAATGTGATCTAGAGATTCAATGCAATCCCAACCAAAATCCCAGAAAATTATTTCCTGGCTATTGAGAAACTGATTTGAATGCTTGTGTGAAGGGGATAAACAGTCCCTCTATAGCCAACTCAGTATCAAAGGAGAAGAATAAAGCTGGAAGATTGACATTACCCAAATTCAAAATTTTCTATAAAGCTACAGTAATCAAGACAGTGTGGTATTGGTGAAAGAATAGACAAATCAATGGATCAAAATAGAGAGCCCAGAAGTAGATCCACACAAATATCATCAATTGATATTTGCCAAGGGAACAAAGGCAATACTATGGAGCAAAGGTAGTCTTTGCAACAAATAGTGCTGGAACATTGGACAGCCACATGCAAAAAATGAATCTAGACATAGAACTTACATCCTTCACAAGAATAAACCCAAAATGGATGATAGACCTCAATCTAAATGAAGAATGATGAAACTTCTAGAAGATAACGTAGGAAAAATCCTAGATGACCTTGTATGTGATATTTTAGATATAACACCAAAGGCATGAATTGAAAAAAATACCAGATAAGATGGACTTTATTTAAATTAAAAATACTTCTACTCTGTGAAAAACAATGCCAAGACAATGAGAAGACAAATCATAGACTGAAATAAAATATTTGTAAAAGACACATCTGATAAAGAACTGTTATCAAAATACCCAAATAACTTTTAAAACTCAACAATACAAAATGAACAACTTCATTAAAAAATGGGCAAAAACCTGAACAGACACCTCATCAAAGAAGACATACAAATGACAAGCAAGCATATAAAAAGATGTTCAACATCAGATATAATTAGGGAACTGTAAATTAAAGGAATGAGATATCATTACAAATCTATTAGAATGGCTAAAATCCAAAACGTTAACACCAAGTGCTGGCAGGGATGTGGAACAACAGGAATGCTCATTTATTGCTCGTAGGCATAAAAAATAGTACTCCAGGAGTACTTCAGGAGTCTGGCAGTTTCTTAATAGTACTAAACAATGTAAGGAGGTTTTTGACAGATTCTCTTGGATTTTCAAGGTACACAATCATGTCATCTGCAAAGAGAGATAACTTGACTTCCTCTTTTCCTATTTGGATACCCCTGATTGCCGTCTCTTCTCTGATTGCTCTAGCCAGGGCTTCCAATACTATGTTGAACAAGAGGGGTGAGAGTGGGCATGCTTGTCTTGTTCCAGTTTTCAGGGGAAATGGTTCCAATTTTTGTCCATTTAGGAGTATG